TATGCGAAACTCATCCCTGAACGTGTCAGTTTCTTCTAGTTAAAACTTGAAAATTGTAACTCTCGTTTTCCGTTTTCGCGAGTAAATTACCAGATAATGCTCACCTTTTCAACAAGTCATCAGCTTTCGAATCGAAGAAGAATCGACAATGAATCGACATTGAAAAGTCTCGAAGTTGCGCGAGCTCATTATTCTCCGTTTCACGTAACTCCACGCTTCCGTTACATTTCTCATCGTAAGATTCTCCTTTCACGTACACTGATGTACACTTGCTGACAAAAGTTAACGATTTACGTTATAAACCCAAGATATATCGGCTCCGCGATTATTTTTCTCTTATTTTAACGTCTTGAACATTTTTTAAACGTTTGAGTATTTCGGTTTTCTCTCATTAACGTCTTATTGTTACAAAATTGAGAAGCAGGGATTTTTACACATTCTATTTCTGCGACAATGTTTTGTAGTTCTAAATGTATAGAAAAATTGCGAGGTACTAACATAAGAGGGTCAAAAAAAACCGTCTAGTTGCATATGCAAAAGCCAATCAGTAAAAGTCACTTTTAATTAGAAATCATTTCCTTTTGTTGTTAAAACTATCAGTCGATAGAACAATCAGTAAAAGTCACTTTTAATTAGAAATAATTTCCTTTTGTTGTTAAAACTATCAGTCGACAGAACAGTTTAGTCATCATTATATAATTATTATGATATTGTAACTAAACTATGAATGGAAGATTTTGATAAGAAAAATATATTTGCATGGCACAAGTCATTTTTCATGAAAAATAACTTACACTGATTGGCTTCTCAAGCTTCAATACAATAGCTTTTTTTTATATAAAATAATCGATACATATTGTCAATGTTTCAAAATTCTTAATACTTTTGAAAGTAAAAGATTCTCATATGATCAATATAGATTGATTGTTTTTACTCACGATAATGCTGAGAATCTTAAAACATATACATACTGATCATCTAAACAATACACGTTCCATATGCTATAAATTTTTCGACTAAATATTTACAATGACAATATATTATTATTGTTGTTGTTGTTGATGTTGTTATTATTATTATTAATACATATTTATATCTAATATTTATAATATTATTCTATTATGTTACTTATTTATAATAATAAAATTCTAAAGTTTTCGTTAATACAAATAAAAGAAACTATGGAAAACTTCATATATTATAATATCTTGCAAAATCGTATAAGTTTTATTCAAGAAAGAATATTATAGAAATAGTTATTTGAACAATCCAGAATATTCTTCTAAAATAATTAAAGTAATCCTTATGATACAAAATATATAATCCTTATGATATAATATTCGTACAGTTTATTCCTTCATCAATAAAATAGAATTAATGAAAAAAATTATAAAAATATATTCCAATAAATCGACTGAGTTTTACGTTAGGTATAATTGTCTCGCAAATTTCATGCAGTTATGAAAATCTGCATTAGAACTCTATGAAAATTATAAACATTTATACGCTATTGTTTTTATTAAAAATGATTGCACGATGTATTTCTTAACTTTTGGATGAAAGTAGATTTATAAAAATAGTTCTTTATAAAAGTAGATTCCAAAAAATATTTATAATTCTATTCTACAGTGTATTATCTCTTCACACTATTATTATTTCCAATTTGTGTAATTTTGAAATTAAGGAATAGTTTTTTTTTTTTTAATAATATATCAGTTCTTAAATTTTGTCAGTACTTCCATTTGCGTGATTTCTTCCACAATTTAACCACACGCCGAGATTCTCGCAAGCAAAGACGCATTTCTTTCTCTTTCTATTTCTCATCTTCATTCGTTACTCATTTCGCGTCTGACAATACGCGTCAGTGATCGACTAATATCCGTATTACGTGGACAAATACGGTGATGAAACAGATGCTTGCACAAGAGCCATCGAAAGGGACGCTGATGATGACATTGCCGTCACAGAATTGTGTTCAACAGAGTCACCTTCGTTGCCACGTGATACGATAACTTCTTAACTTTTAATCTTTGAAGATTTTTTTCTGCTTCATTAGACATAAAATATCTGCGTTCTTATTTGATTATTTTTAAATGTTTCATAGCCGAAAGTATATGTTTGTTCTTTTAAATAAATTTCAATGGAACGCGTTATATATATTAAGATAAATACAATATAGATAATATAAACTCAGATAAATATTATTATTAATATTTCGTTCATATGGATTCCACTTAATCGAACCAAGTTTCCGTCAATAAGTAAATTAAAACAGATTAAATGAACTTTTGCCGATTGAATTCATTTATTTGAACTTGAATTTCTATTATATAAAAAAATTATTAGTAAAAAAAAAAAGAATCTAGACTTCTTTTATAATATATACTAATTTTATATAATAAATAAATGATGAATTTATATAAAAAAAAAGATAACCTGATAAATTTACATAAATGGAGTTCTATTATAGTGCAGTTCAATATTTGACACAGGAATAAATATTATACATCTATAAAAAACAATTAATTTATCAACTATAATTTATCATCCAATTCAACTCTACTTCAAATGTATCATATTCAAAGCTATAATCATAAGAAAATTGTCGCCAACAAGAAGTATGTAAAATGCATTATCCCACTACCCAGTTACTTTAAAAAAACGAGAAAAAGAAAAGTGAAACTGTACTTATTTTAACGAAATTGAAGTGCAGAAAGTGAATTCTAAAGTGCTTTTAAAGAGGGTGGAAAAGAATGGCCAAAAAGCGCGGGAGGAGACAGGGGATGACGAGGTAGAAACGCGTTGCTATAATTGGCTGGCAATCGGATTTTCACTTGTCTCTACCCGTCGATTACAATTAATGAAATCGTCGACCGTAGAGCACGTTGGAGCAATGTGACGTCAATCGCATGCTGGCAAAAGGCACTTGCTATCAAGGACACCAAGGCCTACTCTCGATTACTCTCAGTTCCGCCATTTTTTTTTCTTCTCTCTTTGTCTCTATTTTTTTTTCCACGTTTGTCTATGCAGAATATTTTACGAAAAATATCCTACTACAGGTTGCGATATTTTTTCTTTTGGCAATTGTGATAATATTTATTGTTTGAGTATAACAGTTCATAATTAAACCTTTTTTTTTTATTAATAACAATGTCTTTTATTTTTTGATAGAGTCGAGTCTATCTTTGGAAAGAATTTTTAAGAATTTTTTTTAGTTAACGTAAATCTTTTTTGATGGAGTTGATTTATGATATTTAATCTATAAAAGGTATTGTTATTGTAATCAAACTTGTCAAGTAATTATCATTCCCTCTAATAAAAAAACAGCAAATGAAATGAAAAAATCGCATTAAAAGAATAAAATATTATATAATGATACAATGTCAAAGTATTATCTCTGAATTAATTATACAGAAAATGTATTTTTCCAATATTTCAGGATATTTGCAAATTATTTTATATCATATTCTGATATATCGTCAAATATCAAAATGCAATAATTTCATTGAAATATCATTTGCCGATTGTAAAGTATTTTCGTGTATTTCAAGTGTATCATTTTACAATAATTGTAAGACATACATTTATTAAATATAAAATTTCGCAAGAATTGTGAATGTTCATCATAAAAGTTGCGCTTTTTGTATAATAATGAACTCTACCGTGTTTTAATACAAATATTCGATAATATTCTGCAAATAGATGCAAAATTCCATAAAACTAATGCAAACGTCATGATCAAAATCAAAATTGGAATTTGTCAGAAAACATTTCAGTCTTTTATGAAAATAATAAAAGTTACTGATACAGATTAGACGCAAAGTTTATTTCAATTTCTTATTTGAAACGAATTATTGAATTCTTACGCTTAATTACTGAAAAAATACGAGCATTAATAAAGATTCCTGTTTAGATAGAGGTATAATTGAATAGATGTATTTATTTTAATTAATATCGTTTAAATTGTAATGATGTATTTATTTTAATTAATATCGTTTAAATTGTAATGATGTATTTATTTTAATTAATATCGTTTAAATTGTAATGATTTATACATAAGGTACTTTATTATACATAAAGTATTTTAATACGTATTAAAAACGAATAATTCTAGTGTTAAGAGGTTCTAATTTTTCTTAATATAATTCTCGAAATATTAATATAGAAAGTTATCATTTTCTTCTCTCGCGATATTTCTTTTTCCATTAAATCTAAATATTTATTTAACACTAGAACTACCGTCGATTAAACCATAAAACTTGCATCAGTGAAATTTAAGTGTAAAAAATAAAAATAAAAGGAAAATTAAAAAAAAAAGAAAATAACGATGAAGGACACAGGCTTTTATTCATATATTTTACGAAAAATTATTCAGATCTCTAAAAGTACATTCTTTCAAATCTACAAAATTTCCACGAAAAATTATGAATTGATCATTTTTTGTTCATATTGGTAATTCTAAAGTTAATTCTACTGCGAGTTATTTGTTATTATTTCGAATTTATTACTCTTGATCATGCGTCAGTTTATAGAAAGATGTGCGATAAATTTTCTTAAGGTATCACAATTTGTGATAAATTTTATCACAATTTTTCCCCTAAAAGAAAATTAATATTACTAAAAAAAACAAAAGCATTTTAAAAAAATGGCAATTTGTTTCGTTTGACTCAAAAATTTCTTTTTTATAGTAATGAATGAAACGACAAATGATAGTTAAATATCTTATTATTTATTTCCATTCAACTGATATTATCGAATCTTTTCAACTCATAAATCATTTCCCTCTGAAAATTGAACGACAATTAATATCATGAAGAAACAAAAACGTTTAAAAAATATGCCAATTTGTTCCGTTTGAATTGAAAGATTTTTCTTTGTAATAACGAATGAGACGACAAATGTTCAATGTGTTTACCGAAACGATGGTCCTAAATGTATTTTATCGAGAAAATAAGATATAGAGCAATAAGATTTAATTCGTTTCTGCTTCATAATTTCAGGAAAGTCCATATGGCAACTCGTCTTGGAGCAATTCGACGACCTTCTAGTTAAGATTCTTCTATTAGCCGCTATTATTTCTTTTGTACGTATACACATATTCGACCAATACAATTTTGATTTGTAATATAAAAATACCCATCGATCTCGAATTTATCTCTGTCGATAGTTCATCGACATCTGATGAAGAAATTTTCTTCCGATTCCGTCACGAGATAATTCCTTTGAACAAAGGAACGAAACGATTCCATTACTCTGCAAATTATCAATGAACGTTGTTCGATTCGATAATCTTGATCGTGAAAAAAAAAAAAAAAAAAAAAAAAAAAAAGAGATGAAAAAACAGAACGACATTTTTATCGATCCGTCCACCTACCATTTTTAGCTCGTATAGTATTTTACGCTCGCTGTCGCTTAATTCGCGGCTGCGTCTTCGCGAAATTACAAACGCGTGCGTGTGCGTCTGCATTTTTTATCTTTAAATGGAAGTTAGAAAGCGTTCGTAAAAAATTCCCTGTTATTTGCAACCTATCAGCCCGCCACCGGTGGATAAGCCGGTTGTTTAGTTCAAAAATTCTTGGTTCTAATATTACGAACAATTTACAGTGGTTATTACGCACGAGAGAGATAAAAATGCTTCGTTTCTTTTAACCTTATCGTTCCTATTTATCGGGTATTTCATAGATCAAATATTCTACGGGTAAAATTAATATTTGTCCACCTTTCACGCAGTGATTACACGCGTTACTCGAGCGTTGCTTTTTTCGATACATTCTCTTTGAGATACATTTCTCCTTTGAGATACTCTGTAATTTCTTTCGTTGAACATTTAGTAACATGAAGAGTGCGCCATACACCATGTTCTCGTAAGTGATACTTAAACGATCATTTTCGTAAAGTACCGCCGTCTAATAGTCAAGTTCATTCAACCACGAATTCGCGAACGACCACGACACGGCGAACGTGAACACGAACACCGTGTTTATAATTTTGCAAATTACACTCTTTCATCTATTATCACCAAGCTCGATAAAAATCACAATGACAGCCGGTGCGCGAAGCGTTAACAAACACCGTTTCAACGCCAATATGTCAGATATTTCTGCTCTCCGCGAGCCGAGAGCTGCCAGAAAAGAGTCGTTCGCGCGGAAACGAGCGGCGAGCTCTCAATTACGGCCAGGCGAGTAAAATATAAACCGCATCGACAGCCACGCTGTCGATGCGACATCAAAGCGCGCAGTTTTCACAGCTAATTTGCGGCCGCGTTAACTAGATCAGCGAGCCGCAGCGCGACTGTCGACGAGAGAATGACGCCGCCGCTCGATCGATCATTCGAGCCGGTTAAACAATCAAGTCGACGAGCGAGACTTTTATACTCGCCCGAATCGGCCGCGGGTGGCCAGCGTCCGACTTGGCCAAGAGGTTCGTTCGTTCGTTCGTTCGTTCGATGAAAAAACAATTGGCCGTAAAACTCGCCTTTCTCTCTCTCTCTCTCTCTCTCTCTCTTTCTTTCTTCCTTTCGCGAGGTTTCGTCTTTCTCTGTTTCGCCTTGCTACGCGAACGTCGGCGTGGCTTCCCGCCACGGAAAATTGCTTCTGCGAACGTTGCACCGACAAATGCCAGGGAAAATCGGATTGCCGATTGCCGGTCTGAGGGTGGAGAGTTGGGGAGGCGTCGCGTTGATTCGATTAAGCCGCCTGAAAATTTCGATCGTCGCTTGGCGAACGACACAAAGTCGGACAATCGATGTGAAATACACGCGTCACCGATCTCGCTGATCTTTTCTTTTTTTTTTTTTTTTTCTTTTGTTTCTTTTTTCCACTCTTCAACCGACATATTTCAGGCTGTTCGCAGCCTTGTTTCGTCGAAACGAAGCTTGAAACGTTTGTCTTGTATCTTTCAATTCGCCGATACGACGGGAAAATTTGAATTATTCAACAGACAGAGTGTGACGACAGATTAACATGTGATCGAGCAATTCGTTGGCGCTTGAATGCCATTAGGAATATCAGAAATGCTAAGTTGCTCGTGAAAGGCTCGTTGTTTGTCTGCGGCAATTCATATTTCCGCGTGTATGATTGAATAAATTATAACGCGTCCGTAATTTTCAATGTTACGTGTAAATGTATCTACCTTGAAAATTATTCATGTTAAATTGAAGTAATTAAAACACGAAACATGGAACGCGGTTGTGGATGTGAAACAAATTGGAATAGGTTTGAATTGCGACTGATGGCAAATGGAAGAAACGAAAATTTTGATAATTAATGAATTTTATTAATAGAACGCACATAGTCCTTAATTATAAACTGTGTGTAAAAAAAAAAGAAAGGAAAATTGCATTAAAAAAATTATGCAATATACGGATTCGCTGATTTTACTTCTCCTCTAAACAGTTTCTCGCTTAGACAACAAGAATGATTTATGAATTTAATATCCACGAGACTGAACAGTTATCCTCAGAATTGGTATTTCATGGTAAACATAGTGTACAACTGGGATAGTCTAAAATTACCAAATTAATTACCAAACTGTTTTGTTTCTAACGAAAACAACGTGACGTTTCATTAATTGTATAAAATTTGCTTTGTCCAAGAGCCGTACGAATTTCGTAATTATGGCAGCAATGAAATATTTTACACAACTTCGATTATACGTTCACGTAATTACAAATCAATTATTTCCAAATCTGTTACACAAGTCGTGTTACTTAATTCGATCCTCGTCGCTTTTTGATTTATAAATTGATACAGTTTGTCAATATCATTTATTTCAAAACGCAATCTTCGATCATCATTTAGACAAAAATTACATCTTCAGTTTTACGAAGTAACATTCCCTTCTGCCATAAATTATTTAATTGTTATTGCCCTTTTGTATAACATACGTGTGAACTTTTTATAATCTCGTTAAATATTTCACGATATTACGATAATATTGTTTGTAGCGTCTAAATATGATTTCGCGATATATAAAATATATAGATAGTTTGAATTTTTGTCAAATCGTCTGATCGATGAATTTACGAGAAATTTCTAAAGTTTTTGAACGGCTAATAATGACTTAGAACATTTACAGCGCAGTTCAGCGTTTTAGTGCTCTAATGAAAACTATCGGCAGCTGCTTCGTTTTTACGGAGCCAACGACGTCATTAATTAGGGGAAGGGGAGCAGCATTGAAAATTCTCGATACATTTCACAATTTGTTGGTATTGACAGCGCTGATGAACCTCACTCGAAGTTCTTTGATATACGATGACACTTTTCACGTTTCGAGGGTGCTTCGTTGCAGCGCAGTGGTATGACCCGTGAATGGTCAGCCGCGGAGAGGAGCGCCCGTTCAAGTGGAATTTAACATAAAACTCTCCGCATATTATTCCCCGCCGACCGTCGAAAATAACAAACAGACATTTCCGAAGATTAATACAGAAATTCCATACCGTGAAACGCAACTGCATCGACTTGCGCGAACGTTTAGCAAAAAAAAAAAAAAAAAGAAAAAGAAAAATCAGTTGAACGTGGTCTCTGTTCTGCGGAAACTCTTAACTGTTGCACAAACTTCTCTTTGCAAAAATTAAAATACGAAATGATATTTAATCAAAACTGCCCGCTACTCGCTGTTAAAAAAAACGTCCAAACCGTCAAAGAAAAAAAATCAAAAGGTATTTTCGTTGCGAGTAAAATCTATAAACAAAATTTCGAATTATCGAACCGTTTCCAACTCTCTCTCCCTCCCTCTCTGCGTTTCCAAACTCGGTCCAATTGCGAGTTCAGTTTGGTCAAATTTCACCCAACGAAAACTTCTTCCCGTTACATTCCGTGTATATATAAATTCAAACACGTGGAAATTGTCCCTCGACTTTCGCAATAAGCAGTTGCGGTCCCATCGACCTGTTAATATCGCACTTATTACCGACTTTTCCAATAATTCGCCGGGCACGGAGGGATATCAGCGGCGATAAAGGCAAATAAAACAAGAGATTACGTGCCGTTTATCGGCGTGGGGCATGCGAGTCTTTCCTTTCTGAATGGCGGGAGAAAAAAGAGGGGGCGGGAGGGGAAAGTGAGCGTAGAAAGAGCCTCGGGCCTGTCTGCAAAAGCGGATTTCCGAAAGGAGCACTCTTTGCTTCGGGCGTCCGGGCGGCTTTTTGGTGGTCCCGGGGTCGGGCGCGCAACTAACACGAAACGAAAATAGTTTTTTTCGCTCTGCGGCCTCGTCTCATTGCACATTTAAATTGCCTCGTCTCTAATCATTTGCATATGCGCGTCCGTGCCTCCTGTCTCTGTGCATGCGTGCGTGCTTGAGTGTGTGTGTATGTGTGTATGTGTCGGTCGAAATTATTAAATGGGCCGTCAGTGAAGAATTAAAGCGTTCGTGCGGAACGCGGCTTTGTGAAGCTGCGAATTTCGAACGTGAATTTTATTTATTGGCGAGTAGTATAGTCAGTACAGGCGGTGTAATTATCAAAATTGTTGCGTCCCGTTTAACGACTCTATTTCGACGCAATGATGAAAAAAGTTTATATTTTCATCCTACGTACTATTTATTTCTATGTACGTGTATTTTTGCATTGTCGTTCTTCCAGCGGTTTTTACGTATTCACGCTCGATAAAAATGGACAAACGCCCATTTGTGTCAAAATGGGTCATTGTCTAAAATTTCGTACGTATTATTCGATGCATCACCGAATATTCGTACATTTATGATTTTTTAACGAGGGACGCCAGTTCCCCGCGTATAAATTTTAAACGTTCGGAATCGAGGCATCAATTTTATATAATACTTTTCGCCGTATACGATCCTTTCGAAATGCATTGCCGAATTCTATCCGTCCGTAATCGCAGTTTACTCTTCGAATAAACATATATCGTGAAATATTTGATATTTTTGTCGAGTAAGATATTTGAACTAAAGGTAATTCTCAAAGTGTATTTTTATATTTTCACGCTTGGCGCGTGCCTTTCTCCCTTTTTTATTAAGAACGACACAGAAGATGTAAGATAATACTAAAGTAGATCGCGGAAACAATTTAAATTATAAACTATCGATTTGACGATCGGATTGATACTGAAAACATCAATTTCGAGAGAAATGACAACACGATCATCGTGGATGTGTACATTTCGCAGACGATTGCATTTC